CTATGCAGGAAGATTGTACGAAGAATTAGATATCTCCTGTGTTCCCGGCAAGATGGACCGAGTTTTCAGCTTGCAGCCGATCTTCCGGACTTCCCAATATATAAAACATGAATCCAACTAGCCCATTGGCTATTCTATGAATGGAGTTTGAACTATAGCCAGTCTTTTTTTTTTTTCAAAAGAAGAAAAGAATAAAACTAAAAAAAAAATACTTATCATTTGAAAATTATACAATAATATTAAATAAAATAATATTAAATAAAATAATATAAAATTTAAAAATATATATTATGATGCATTAGCGCGCCATCTGGTATGAAAATTCGAAACTATTATAGACACGTAAGATTCTTTTTGAAATTAAACAATTTCTACTGACCTTACTGCAATGGAAAAATTAATGGGAGGGCCTGGCTCATCAGTGGTGGACCCTCCCAGCGATTTCGCCAGTTTAATATAACAGTGGTATGGTAGATTAAACTGGCGAAACCGCCGGGAGGGTTCACCATTGATGAGCCAGGCCCTCCCATTAATTTTTCCATTGCAGTAAGGGCAGTAGAAATTGCTTAATTTCAAAAAGAATCATATGTGTCTATAATAGTTTCGAATTTTCATTAAAAAATATATATATATTCAAAAGAGAGATATTTACAGAGCTTTTACAAGGTAAGATCAATAAATAAGGTGAATTATAATTTATTTTAAAAAATAAGAACGATATTAAAAATTAGGACTTGATTTATTCAAAATAATCACCTTGGCTTTCTATACATCGTCTCCATCGTTCTGGCAACTTGTAAATACCCTCTTTATAAGCACTCTTAGGAAGCGTGTGTAAAAAATCTTGCACCACTTTCTGGACATCTTCATCCGAGTCAAATCGCTTTCCCTTTAACTCCTTCTTTAATAGTCCAAAAAGGAAATAGTCAGAGGGGGCTAGGTCTGGACTATATGCAGGATGTTCTAAAACTTCAAAACCTAATTTAATGATTGTAGATACAGTTTTACATGATGTATGCGGCCTTGCATTATCATGAAGGAAGAGAACACCTTTACTAAGCTTCCCTCTTCTTTTGTTTCTTATACCGGGCTTTAGCTTATTTACAAGAATGTCACAATAAAGGTCGCTGTTCATACGTTGCCTTGAGGATAAAAAATCAAGACAGATTGGTCCATCAACATCCCAAAAAATTGTTAACAAAACTTTACCGGCCCAACGTTGAGACCTGAGGAACATGTAATTCGTCCATTTTTGAACTCGTTAACCCATTTATAAATGTTTTTTTTTTAGACAAACAAGACTCACCATAGATATTTTTCATTCTTTGGCATATTTGAGATGTTTGAATACCTTCTGCATTCAAGAAACGAATAACTGCACGTTGTTCAAGCGTGGTGCAATCCTTCAAGGGAGATTCCATTTTAGTTTATTTATAAGTCTCGCGCCGCGCTTGGGAAAAAAGAACAGAACACCTTAAATAGTCTCTCGATGTTATTTTTAATATTTTGTGGTTTAAATTATTTTTGCTTTTTAATTTTTAAGAAATAAGATAATTCACCTTATTTATTGATCCCCCTTTGTATAATGCGATGGATAAAAACGTAAAGAGGAAGATCATTGTTCATCAGCGTAAACCTCTTTTACTTTTTATTCGTAGTTATCATATTCACAAAGTTTAATTTTATGTTAAAATATATATAAAAAAACTAAAAATAAAATAAGGTTTCAAACAATAAATATCCCATTTTATATATATAAAAATCATATTATATAAATAAAAAATATTTCAAACGTCTGTTTATTTTACAATGTGCTTACAAGTTTGAAGCAGAAGACAAAACCATTGTCTTTTTTTTTCCAAACGCTTTGTCAAGCTCCAAAATCGTTTACCCGGATACTAAGTTTTTATTCAGGCCTTGAATGAAGGCACAAAGACAAAAAGAAGCTTAAAAAACACCTTACACACGTTCTTATAGGTAACTCATGTGTACCCATGCGTGAGTTTGAATGGTTGAACAAGTAACGCCATCTTTGGACAAATTTGGTAACCTTTTTTATTTTCTTACGCCATTTTCAAGGCATTTGTTTCATTTAAGATTTTATATATACAAATTTATCTACATTAACGTGAGTATTTTTGATAATTTTTATTTAGTTATATGTCTATTGACCTAATGTATGTATTTGAATATAATGTTTTGTTTAGATAGTTCTAAAATTTGGCGAAAGGGGGCGAAAATTTTACATGTTTTTTTTTAGATCATTGTACCGTTTGTTTACATTTGTGCACGTTAATTTTTTAATGCAAAATGTTCTTTATATTAGAGTTTTATTGATATATTTATAAAATGAATAGTTTATTTATCTAGAAAAAAATATACAAGAGGTTAAAATATATAAATCGATTTTATTTTAAATAAAATTTAATAATAATAACTTAACTAATAAAAATAACTATTTTAAAAATACACATTTTAACACTTTTAAAACACGTGTTTTTAAAGCTTAAAAAAGAAATAAATAGATATCTATAAATATTAAATAACAATTTCAACGTTTAAAAATGAAAACAAAGTTTTCCTTATTTTAAAGTAGATTGTGATATGTTCCAATATATATTAAAGAGTATATTAACTGAATTATATTCAATGTAAAGTTTAAGTAGGGTCTTTTATAAAGATATTTAGAAAACATTTGATCGTTCCTCGGTAGTATAGTGGTTAGTATTCCCGCCTGTCACGCGGGCGACCGGGGTTCGATTCCCCGCCGGGGAGTTTTTTTTTTTTTTTTTCAAATTATCTAAACGATATTTTATTTATATATAAATAAATTTTTATTTTATATACATATATTTTTTAAAAATGAGAAATATATATAAATACAAACTTTGATTCTTATTTAAAATATATTTTAAAAGTAGCGTAATTCAATGCGTGCAAACAATTACAATATTACAAAAAAAGTAGACATATTATTACAATTAATCTTTTTATTAAAAACTTAATAAAATTCATTTTAAAATAATATTGTCCTTATATATATTCTGCTAAGACTTTAAGCGCGATCCCTCGATAGCTCAGTTGGCAGAGCGGTGGACTGTAGATGTTGGAACAGAGATCCATAGGTCGCTGGTTCAAATCCGGCTCGAGGGATTTTTTTTTTTTTTAATTTCATTTGACGATTTTTTATATATACTTTTTTTTTCTATTTTAAAATGTGCTTGCAAAAATTATTAAAAACTTTTTTTTTCATATTTTAATCAACATTTTTTCTTCCATATTAAAATTTGAAAAAGTTATTATTTAAAAATATATACTCGTACATATATTTAACTGGTGTCTTTTATATTTTAAAATCAAATTTGTTGTAAATAGTATAAACCTCCAATAAGAGACCATTTGGTTTCTTCTGGAGGAGACCGTTTTTAGAAGGTTGAATTAGATACATCATTTTAGAAAAATGGTCACTATGGTCTTTGATCAAAAGGAGGACGTTTTTTGAACATAACTATATAATTCCAATATATAATTACATATAAAATGAAAGAATTTAAAAGCACGAATGTTTCTTTTATATAGATACAAACTTCTACTGCCCTTACTGCGATGAAAAAATATGTATTGAGAGGGCTTGGTTCATCAGTAGTGAACCCTCCCAGCGGTTTCGCCAATTTAATCCACCAGAACGCTTCTCAGAGCTCTAATACTGTATTGGACGATTCTGCTTATATACTCAGCACTGAAGGGTGGAATCTTAGAAATGGTTTTCAACTATGGACATAAGCTTATCATGTATAAAAAGAAACATTCGTGCATTTAAATTCTTTCATTTTATATGTTTAGATGGCGCGTTATTGCTTTGTGTTAATATAATTACATATTAGAATAAAGGTATGTAAATATATAATGTTTAAAATTTTATTCGAGATTCCGTTCTTTATCCACTATCAAACTACACCAGTAACCTCGCTTTGCGTCGTTTCGTTTTACGTTTTTTTCGAAGTTGCGTCGCTGCTTAATTTTTACTGATTTTCACTGTGCGTCGTTAGATTTTCGAAGTTGCGTTGTTTTGGATTCGAGTCTTTAATTTTTTTTGAATTTTTTTTTCCTAAAATATGGCAACACCTTTGTTTTTGATTGCGCCTTCACATATTTTCACTTTGCGTCGTTTCAATTTGCGTCGTGTTTTTTTTTTGGAACGTAACCCCGACGCAAAGCGAGGTATGGGTGTATTTCTCTCTAAAGGAAGACTACCACCAATAGATGTTTAACTCTACCCCTAATTTAAATAAACGAGGTAAAACTGTTTATTACATAAGATATAGTTATGAAAAAAAGGCATCTCCTTATCGTGCAACTGAAAGTTGCTGATGGCTTGCGCCATCTATCGGAATAAATATCAACTTTTCTCGTTGATATTTATTCCGATAGATGGCGTAAGCCATCAGAAACTTTCAGTTGCACGATAAGGAGATGCCTTTTTTCATAATTTATGCCCCTTATCCCAGTACAATGTCACATTTGTACTATTTTTTCATAAGATATAATTGTATATTTTTTAATCTATCACACAATTTATATGATGACATCACCTATCATACAATATCCCCATTTGTATGTATGGTATATAAAACCATTTTAAAAATATATAATTTTGACTATTTCAATCATACACACCTTGTAGAAGATTGTATGGCAGACAAACAGACAGACAGACGGACAGTCAGATGGACAGACAAACGGACAGACAGAAGGACAGACAGACAGATGAACAGACAGACGGACAGATGTCTCCGTACATCTCTCACTAGAGTCTCAATGTTCTCATTCTAATATCTCAAATATCATTATAAACAGACGGACGGACAGACAGACGGACGGACAGAGAGACAGGTGAATAGACAGCCAAGATGGACAGACAGACGAACATCCCCAGATGTCTCTCACAGCAGTCTCAATGTTCTCATTCTAATATCCTCAAATATCATCATAAACAGACGGACGGACAGAGAGACAGGTGAATAGACAACCAGATGGACAGACAGACGAACAGCCCCAGATGTCTCTCAGAGCAGTCTCAATGTTCTCATTCTAATATCTCTCAAATATCATCATAAACAGACGGACGGACAGACAGACGGACGGATAGGGAGACAGGTGAATAGACAGCCAAGATGGACAGACAGACGAACAGCCCCAGATGTCTCTCACAACAGTCTCAATGTTCTCATTCTAATATCTCTCAAATATCATCATAAACAGACGGACGGACAGACAGAGAGACAGGTGAATAGACAGCCAAGATGGACAGACAGACGAACAGCCCCAGATGTCTCTCACAGCAGTCTCAATGTTCTCATTCTAATATCTCTCAAATATCATCATAAACAGACGGACGGACAGAGAGACAGGTGAATAGACAGCCAAGATGGACAGACAGACGAACAGCCCCAGATGTCTCTCACAGCAGTCTCAATGTTCTCATTCTAATATCTCTCAAATATCATCATAAACAGACGGACGTACAGACAGACGGACAGACAGAGAGACAGGTGAATAGACAGCCAAGATGGACAGACAGACGAACAGCCCCAGATGTCTCTCACAGCAGTCTCAATGTTCTCATTCTAATATCTCTCAAATATCATCATAAACAGACGGACGGACAGACAGACGGACGGACAGAGAGACAGGTGAATAGACAGCCAGATGGACAGACAGACGAATAGCCCCAGATGTCTCTCACAGCAGTCTCATTGTTCTCATTCTAATATCTCTCAAATATCATCATAAACAGACGGACGTACAGACAGACGGACAGACAGAGAGACAGGTGAATAGACAGCCAGATGGACAGACAGACGGACAGCACCAGATGTCTCTCACAACAGTCTCAATGTTCTCATTCTAATATCTCTCAAATATCATCATAAACAGACGGACGTACAGACAGACGGACAGACAGAGAGACAGGTGAATAGACAGCCAGATGGACAGACAGACGGACAGCCCCAGATGTCTCTCACAGCAGTCTCAATGTTCTCATTCTAATATCACCTCAAATATCATCATAAACAGACGGACGGACAGACAGACGGACGGACAGAGAGACAGGTGAATAGACAGCCAAGATGGACAGACAGACGAACAGCCCCAGATGTCTCTCACAGCAGTCTCAATGTTCTCATTCTAATATCTCTCAAATATCATCATAAACAGACGGACGGACAGACAGAAAGACAGGTGAATAGACAGCCAGATGGACAGACAGACGGACAGCCCCAGATGTCTCTCACAGCAGTCTCAATGTTCTCATTCTAATAGCTCTCAAATATCATCATAAACAGACGGACAGACAGAGAGACAGGTGAATAGACAGCCAGATGGACAGACAGACGGACAGCCCCAGATGTCTCTCACAGCAGTCTCAATGTTCTCATTCTAATATCTCTCAAATATCATCATAAACAGACGGACGGACAGACAGAGAGACAGGTGAATAGACAGCCAGATGGACAGACAGACGGACAGCGCCAGATGTCTCTCACAGCAATCTCAATGTTCTCATTCTAATATCTCTCAAATATCATCATAAACAGACGGACGGACAGACAGACGGACGGACAGAGAGACAGGTGAATAGACAGCCAGATGGACAGACAGACGGACAGCCCCAGATGTCTCTCACAGCAGTCTCAATGTTCTCATTCTAATATCTCTCAAATATCATCATAAACAGACGGACGGACAGACAGACGGACGGACAGAGAGACAGGTGAATAGACAGCCAGATGGACAGACAGACGAACAGCCCCAGATGTCTCTCACAACAGTCTCAATGTTCTCATTCTAATAGCTCTCAAATATCATCATAAACAGACGGACGGACAGACAGACGGACGGATAGAGAGACAGGTGAATAGACAGCCAAGATGGACAGACAGACGAACATCCCCAGATGTCTCTCACAGCAGTCTCAATGTTCTCATTCTAATAGCTCTCAAATATCATCATAAACAGACGGACGGACAGACAGACGGACAGACAGAGAGACAGGTGAATAGACAGCCAGATGGACAGACAGACGGACAGCCCCAGATGTCTCTCACAGCAATCTCAATGTTCTCATTCTAATAGCTCTCAAATATCATCATAAACAGACGGACGGACAGACAGACGGACGGATAGAGAGACAGGTGAATAGACAGCCAAGATGGACAGACAGACGAACATCCCCAGATGTCTCTCACAGCAGTCTCAATGTTCTCATTCTAATAGCTCTCAAATATCATCATAAACAGACGGACGGACAGACAGACGGACAGACAGAGAGACAGGTGAATAGACAGCCAGATGGACAGACAGACGGACAGCCCCAGATGTCTCTCACAGCAGTCTCAATGTTCTCATTCTAATATCTCTCAAATATCATCATAAACAGACGGACGGACAGACAGACGGACGGACAGAGAGACAGGTGAATAGACAGCCAGATGGACAGACAGACGGACAGCCCCAGATGTCTCTCACAGCAGTCTCAATGTTCTCATTCTAATATCTCTCAAATATCATCATAAACAGACGGACGGACAGACAGACGGACGGACAGAGAGACAGGTGAATAGACAGCCAGATGGACAGACAGACGAACAGCCCCAGATGTCTCTCACAACAGTCTCAATGTTCTCATTCTAATATCTCTCAAATATCATCATAAACAGACGGACGGACAGACAGACGGACAGACAGAGAGACAGGTGAATAGACAGCCAGATGGACAGACAGACGGACAGCCCCAGATGTCTCTCACAACAGTCTCAATGTTCTCATTCTAATATCTCTCAAATATCATCATAAACAGACGGACGGACAGACAGACGGACGGACAGAGAGACAGGTGAATAGACAGCCAGATGGACAGACAGACGGACAGCCCCAGATGTCTCTCACAGCAGTCTCAATGTTCTCATTCTAATATCTCTCAAATATCATCATAAACAGACGGACGGACAGACAGACGGACGGACAGAGAGACAGGTGAATAGACAGCCAGATGGACAGACAGACGAACAGCCCCAGATGTCTCTCACAACAGTCTCAATGTTCTCATTCTAATATCTCTCAAATATCATCATAAACAGACGGACGGACAG